AGGAGAGGAGAGGAGAGGAAAAGAGAGGAGAGGAGAGGAGAGGAGAGGAGGAGAGGGGAGCAGAAGGGAAGGGAAGAGGAAAGGGGAGGGAGAGAGGAGGAGGAGGAGAGAAGAGAGGAGGAGAAGAGAGGATGAAAGAGGAAGGGAAGAGGAGAGGAGAGGAGATAAGAGGAAAGGAGACAAGAGAAGAGAAGAGAGGAAAGGAGAGGAGAGGAGAGGAGGGGAGGGGAGCAGAAGGGAAGGGAAGAGAAAAGGGGAGGGAGAGAGGAGGAGGAGAGAAGAGGGAAGGAGAGGAGAGGATGAAAGAGGAAGGGAAGAGGAGAGGGAGGGAGGGGAGAGGAGGAAGATGGCTCCACCGATACTGACTGAATAGTCTGATGGCCCCTTCTGGGTGCGCCAGGGGTGTGGAATTGGTGGGAGTGGTGACAGGGGAGGGAGCTGATGTGTGTTTGCATATTCGAATGGGTTGTTATGTGTGTACATGTGAAACAGTGTGTTGTCCCTGAGAGCTGTTGGTGCTAAAGGGCTGTAGAGTGCTCAGTTTCCCCTCCTAGGGATGGGTCGTGAAGACACGGAGAGGTTCTCAAGTCCTGGGTCATGGCGCTTGGTTTTGGGAAGGGGGCTGTTCTTGGGGGGTGGTGGCTAGAAGCAGACCACAACGTTAGAAAGGTGTCCGTCAGGAGGAGACCTGGTAGGAGACAGGGAGCGGGTCCCCTTCAGGAACCATGGAACTCTTCCCCACTCCTTCTCTCGATCTCAGCTCCGTTGTCCTACTAGTGGACCTTCAATGGCCTTGTCCTTCATCTGTTGCTACTGGATGCCAGGTTGGGCTCCCTCATCCATGATGGTGATCGTTGATGAGATGACCATCCCGGCACGTATTACCAAGACCTGGTTGGCTTGTAGAGGATTGCCCTGTCTAAAATTTGCCCAGCTGGCATCAACCAAGACTCCAGGAGAGGGACAGGAGTGGCGATTGTGACTAGGGAATCTCTTAATGGCTTTCAAGCACCTTGAAAAACATCTCCATCCATTGGAGGCTTTTAAGAAGAGGCTGGACAACCACTTGTCCGAAAGGGGATAGGGCCTCCTGCTTGAGCAGGGGGTTGGACTAGAAGATCTCCAAGGTCCCTTCCAACTCTGTTCTTCTGTGTCAACTCTTAAGACACATTAAACCCTAAACTAACCAACAGCCGTATATGTATCTAGTGCATTTGTCCACCAAGGTTTAACTGACCTAGTTAAGTGTTTTGTGAAAACCCACCACAAATGCTGATGACATTTCAGGAATGACCTCATAAACCTTCATCATTTTGAAAACATCCCCATCTCTTCAGAACCTTTAGTATCATCTCTCCCCCATCAGAAATTACCACACATTGTCTCTTTATGGGTCATGGAGTTTGCCCCTTTCCATGAAGAGGAGAAGAAACCAGAAGGACTACCTTCTCCTCAACATTACAGCTCCACCTCCACTTCCTTAGCATCTCCGGTTCTCAAGGTGCTAATTTCTGGCTTGAAGGACCCATAACTTCATCCAGCAGGTCTAATTTCTGGCTTGAAGGACCCACAACTTCATCCAGAAGGCCTTCATCCCTGGTTCTCAAGGGGCTAATTTCTGGCTTGAAGGATCCATAACCTCATCCAGCAGGCCTTCATCTCCAGTTCTCAAGGTGCAAATTTCTGACATTAACCTGTGTGAGCTGATCCAGCAGATCGTTTGATCAACTTTCAGGTCAGCATCTCTTGTCCATCCACATCCAGGCGCTGTGGACAGGAGTCCCTCCAGAACCCCACCATGGTCCTGCTGAAACCTCAAGAGACGCAAGTCCAAAGCAAACTCAAGAAATGCAGAAGAGGAAATTGGACTGTTTTATTTGAGAAACAGAGGCAGAGTTCCCCCTAAGTCCCTAGTAATCTGCTACTACCGAAGAGTAAGACACAGCAGTGTAGAAGTTTCCCGGGCAAAGAAGGAAAGAGATACCTCAGCCAGCAGAAGCACCAAATCGGGGTTTGTTTTTTTTAGGCGTGAAGCGGTTGTATAAATTTGTATAAATTTGCAATCTGCTTCCCAATTAGTCACAACTCGGAGTGATTTACACACACACACACAAAGGAAAAAAAAGTGTGAATTATTAAGAGACATTGAAGGAGGCTGCCTTTATCTTCTCAGTTGGTAGATAAATTTAGCCGGGTTCGTTCCAAGACGGTGATTCAAAGGTTGGATGAGCAAAGGAGAGACGTGTGTCGATCAGGGAGATGTGCACATTTTCCCCTTTTCAAAACTTGATTGCACTGCACTGTTTCTTCATTTCCTTTTCCATCTCCTCCGAAGTGAAAGGCTCAATGGACTTATACATAGTCATCATTCTCTGCAAACGATAGAAAAGTGTCCTCATCACCTCGTTCAGAAACGCTACACAATGCTGGTGTCAACGCTGCAAATACTGTATATTCTTGCTTTGACAATATGCAGAACTGTCTGGTATTTTTAGAGTTAAATCAGGCAACAGGGAAAGGGGAGGAGAATAAGGAAAGCCTGGGAAAAAGGAACCGGAAGTGAATCTTTGCCCTCCAAAGTTAATTGGAAGATGTGAATCATGACCCCAAAATAGGGGAGGGAAAAATGCCTGGAATGTTACGTGCAAAGGAAGGGAAAATCAGATCTTGGCATTCCACCATGCCGTACTGACATCTCTGTAACCTTAATAAAGGCTTTTAGGTTAAAAAAAAATGCCTGAAAGTTCTTTGAAGTGTTTCGTTAATCAGACACATGACAGCTGGTCCTTAACACAACCCAGTGTTTGTGTATGTGTGTGTGGGGGGTGGGGAGGAACAGCTTTGCCTCCAGCAGTTGTGGGTGCTCCAACACTGGAGGTTTTCAAGAAGAGACTGGACAGCCGTTTGTCAGAAATGCTAGAGGGTCTCCTGGCTGAGCAGGGGGGCTGGACTAGAAGACCTCCAAGGTCCCTTCCAACTGTGTCCTGTTCTCCAAAGCACCAGAAGGCACGACAAGAAGCAATGAATGGAAGCTAGTCAAGAAGAGAAGCAACCTGGAACTAAAGAGGAATTTCCTGACAGTGAGAACAATTAACCAGGGGAACTACCTGCCTCCAGAAGCTGTGAATGCTCCAACACTGGAAGTTTTTAAGAAGACACTGGACAGCCATTTGTCTGAAATGGTATAGGGTTTCCTGCCTGAGCAGGGGACTGGACTACTAGAAGACCTGAATAGAACAGAGCTAGAAGGGACCGTGGAGGTCTTCTAGTCCAGCCCCCTGAAGCAGGAGAACCTAAACCATTTCAGACAAGTGACTGTCTAGTCCAGGGGTGTCAAACTGCCGGCCCATGGGCCGGACGCATCACAAGGAAATGGCACCCACCCCATTGCCGTCAAGGGGGGGGGAATTCCGATACGTTGCGCGACGTCATGTGACATTGCGAGTTTGACATGTCTGGTCTAGCCTCTTCTTAAAGACCTTCCAGTGATGGAGCGCCCACGATTTCTGAAGGCAACTTCTGTTCCACTTGGTTGATTGTCCTCACAGTCATTTGTTTGGTGACTGTTTGAAGTTACAACCGCCGTGAAAAATGGACTTACGGCCATTTTGCATGTTTCACGGCCGTTGCGGCGTCCCCAGGGTCACGTGATCAAAATTTGAATGGTTGGCAACTGACTCGTACATATGACAGCCGCAGCGTCCCAGGGTCACGAGATCCCCTTTTGTGACCTTCCGACAAGCAAAGTCAACCCAGATTGGCTTAACAAGTGTGTTACTTAACAGCTGCAGCGATTCACATCACAACGGTGGCAAGGAAGGTCGTAAAATGGGGCAAAACACTCACTTAACAACTATCCCGCTCAGTAATGGAAGTTTTAAAGCTCAGTTGTGGTCGTAAGTCAAGGACTACCCATATCAGTGTCAGCCACAGCTTCTCACACTCAGAATCAGCTGTCTGAGGGCTGGACTAGAAGACCTCCAAGGTCCGTTCCAATTCTGTTCTGTTCTGTTCCATTCTATTCTGTTCTGTTCTACAATCTAGTCTATTCTACAATCTATTTTGTTCTGTTCTGTTCTATATTTCTGTTCTGTTCTGTTCTGTTCTGTTCTGTTCTGTTCTGTTCTATTCTATTCTATATTTGTATTCTATATTTCTATTCTATATTTCTATTCTATTCTATATTTCTATCCTATCCTATCCTATTCTATTCTATTTTATTCTATTCTATTCTATTCTATTCTATTCTATTTTATTCTATTCTATTCTATTCTATTCTATTCTATTCTATTCTATTCTATTCTATTCTATTCTATATTTTGTTATCTTCCTTGAATGGCCCAACTAGCTGCTATCTTAGAACTCACTAGATGGACTAAGGAGGCATCTACAACTTTTGAACCCCTGTTGGGGTGTCTGCGGGGGGAGGGAAGGATGGAAGCTGTTCCCTAGTAAGGCTGCCTTTTGCAATTGACCGATGGCGAATCTGTCAATGCCAATGGGATGATATTGGTACGTGCTTGCCTTTGCCACAGTCTTTCTATTTCTATTTGTAAGTTATCTTCTCCAATTATTATTATTGCTGTTGTTGTTATTATTATTATTATTATAATCATCATCATCAATTATCAATTATCATTTATCAATCATGAATCATGAACCATGAATCATGAATCATGAACCATCAATCATCAATCATCAATTATCAATCATGAATCATAAATCATGAATCATGAATCATGAAATATGAACCATTAATCATCAATCATCAATCACCAGTCATGAAATATGAACCATGAACCATGAACCATCAATCATGAATCATGAAATATGAACCATGAACCATGAACCATGAACCATGAACCATCAATCAATCATCAATTATCAATTATCAATTATCAATCATCAATCATGAAATATGAACCATGAACCATCAATCATCAATCATCAATTATCAATCATGAATCATGAAATATGAACCATGAAATATGAACCATGAACCATGAACCATCAATCATCAATTATCAATCAATTATCAATTATCAATTATCAATCATCAATCATCAATCATGAAATATGAACCATGAACCATCAATCATCAATTGTTATACTTCATCCAAAGGGAGTCAAAGGTCTTTTTTTCCTAAGGGATGAAAATGGGGAGGGTCTGACCCAGCCCTTCTTCAATCCCAAGACAGATACCCCTTGAGTTACAACCCACCCTTGGGTCCAAAGTATGGGTCACTAAGCGAGGCTGTGGTTAAGGGGGTCCTGCCCCGTTTTTACGACTTTTCTCGCCGCGTCCCAAGGATGCTTCTTCACGAGGCAACCCGGACTTTCTTCTCTTTCCTCTGAAGACAAGAAAACAGGAAAGTTGCCTCGGGAAGAAGCATCTCTGGGATAACGGTGACCCACAAGATGGCGCCTCCCCATAGCCATTTTCTCGGCACCGTTGTTAAATGAATCGCTGCGACGGTTCAGCGAGTAACCCGGTGGCTAAGGGACTCTGGCTTCTCCGTGGACTTTACTCATCAGAAAGGGACCCCAGGACCCCAGGGAACACGGCCACCATCACAAACACGAGTCAGCCGCCCGGCGTCTGAATTTTGATCCCGGGACCCCCGGGGGATACTGCAGCGGTTGTAAAGCTACGACGGTCAGAAGTTCCCTTTTTTTCAGGGCCGTTGTAACTTTAAAAGGAGCCCGTTGTAAGTTGCGGAGGACTGGCCCAAGCCTACGAGTTTGCATCTATACTCACGTCATCATAATTGAATTCGGAGATATCTGGACTGCTTGTGACGTTCGTGAGGCT